AGTCAAACGTGCAAGATGGGAGATGATGGAAGATAGGGAGGGAGGAGAGAACAGGTAGGAGGAGGGAGTTAAGAAGGAAGAGTAGCCAGGTAAGCAAGTTAAGATGAACACAAAGAAGGTGATGATGGTGAGAGTCGGATGCCACATGATAAGAGATATAAACCAACTGATTTGGATGCTGAGGCGCGGAGGGAATGAAACAAATAAAGAGGGGTACAGGACTCAAAAAGCGAGAGGAGGGGAGTCAAAGGAGCGTGGGAGGCAGGGAGGGATGGATGGGGGAAGAGTAAACAAAGTAAACAGGAGTGCAGAATAGAGGGAGGAGGCGGTTGCCGTGGTGACTAAGAGAAACCAGAAAGCTCCATGAGGAAATGACCTGTTTCTCCTTCATTTTGTCTATTTTCATCACTGACACACACAGAGGAGAATACACATGCGCAGCTGGCACACACACGCACATGCACACTCGTGCATTAATGCACACAATGCATGTACTGTAGCCACACACAAATGTACATATGCATACACGCAGGCAAACTCTTCCACAGTAATGTCTTCCTCTCTCATGCTATCTTTATACGCTCCCTCTCTCTGTACAGTCCTCTCCTTTTTGCCTCTCTACCTCTCCTCTGCAGTGAATGAGCTGACCTGACAGTGCTCCTCCTCTGCACTGAGTGCTGTGAGTCTGTCTCTGAATTATTTAAAAGCTGGGACCCCCACGAGTGCTTGTCTTCCCCTAACACCCCCTCACGCTCCCTCTCTCTCTCTTCTTTCCTCTGTCCCTTCCTCTCTCACTGTCATTCTGTCTTCTTGTGGCTGCAATTACTTCCTGTGTCAAATCTGGGCAACACTTTGATTAACAACATACAAATCTGATCTATGAACCACAGGCTGGTTAATAGTATAAGATAAGACAAAGTCTAGCGGAATGTAACAAAGAACATTTCGGCATTTTTGAGGCACTCGCAATTTGACTATTTCAATTTTATGTTACTTTTTACTTTTCTCAGATATTAGACTTGCTGCTCCACTACATTCATTTGATAACTGGAGTTACTTTGCAGATTAAGACTTTGCATACAACTTGCATACAACATCATCTTCTAAAATATGATGTTCTGTAGTAGATGAAACAATCGGAAAACATGAAAAGTAGATCAAAATCACTCCGCCTTGACTAGCTGCTACAATAAAATTACGCTCACATTAATGCATCAGTTATAATAATAATCAATTAATATCATATTTAACAATACAACACTGACATGAGGCTGTCATCTTGCTGCATAATCAGTAAATATATTTGGCTGATAAAATTCCACTTATGTAGCCTTTTGAAGGCAGCGTTTTAATTTGTGTTTTTACATGTTGGGATTGTGTCTATTCTTTATGTAAGTAAAGGACATGAATATTTCCTCCACCACCGACACCTTATAAGCTCATATCCAGAATGCAGGTGATAGAAAGAAAACCATCTACGTCCCAAATGTCGACTTTTTGTGAGCTATTAAAACAGCTTTGTTTTTAGCTATGTAACGGTGCAGTTTTCAGATACTCCGGTGGGTTTTTAAATGGTTTGTTCAGCTTAAGAAGTAAGCAAGTCATTTTCTCAGTCCATGAAGGAAAACTTAACTCTTTTGGTTTATCCAAAAAATTCTAAATCAATAAATTCTGAGATACGTGGTTTTCATGGGCCAGTGATAGGCCAGTGTGGGCTGCATGCATACTGACTGCAACATTCCCCAAAAAACAGACAGAATCAAGAATCGTGTCCAACACCCTAGGCATGTTGTTTGTTTTGACCTACTTTGTGATTTAATTAAGAGAACACAGAGGACAAACCCTAACAGATCACACGGATGGAAGGAGGGGTGATACTTAGCGGTGTCTGTTGTTGTGTAACATTGCCATTTCTGACACTCCTGATAGGAGGAAGGCCAAGATTAGAGACGGCTCCTCGACCGCAAAGTCTGGATACAAACACATGAAAAAGTGAGCATCTGCTTTGCTGAAGTGTCTTTGAGCAAGACACGTATTTTCGCTGGAGTCGACCTTGCACTTTGACCCTCTGGGGTGTCCTACGACTGATAAAATGCCACAAGAAACAGATTTGTGAACTGACAGTAGGAGGAATTAAATGCGTTCGCTTTGGCGTTACATGTTGCTGCTCTCCATTCACAAACCAAGCAGGTTATTCTGTCGGGGAGCACATTGCTACTATGGCCACAGTTATTCATAGCTCTTTTTATATTGCAGTCTGTCTCTCCTCCCTCTTCTCATTCCCCGTAGAGATGGCCCTACCTCACTCTAACTAATCACCATGGCAACCTGGTAATCCCTGAACAGAAAAATTCTGACTCCCTTTCTCTCTCTCTCTCTCGCTCTATCTCTCTCTCACACACACACACACACACACAGGACTGCATGCACACACACATAAATGCACACATGGATGCACACATGGGCACAATCACGCTTGCACACACACACACACACACACACACACACACACACACACGTGCACGCACACAGACATTTCTCTGAGAGATACTCATGCAAACCAATACACTGGTGTTTACTGGTAAGACATATCTTACCCCAAACACACGCTTCCATGCATCATTGTGAGGATAAAGCCTCTCTGTATTTTGTGAGACGCTTCATGTGTGTGTCAGCGAGGATTTAGATACTTTTGGGTTGGGTGAAGAAATGCTATTTGTGTGTGCACTATTTATGTATGCATTTTGCATTTGTGCTTATGTGTGCTCAGGTTTGTCTGGATGTGTTGACTGCAAACGTGTGAGTGCGTGTGTGTGTGTGTAACTGTAATTGATTTCACACTCAGGTCAATGATTTTTACAGCTACAAGAAAAAAACACACAGATTCACTCTGGTTTGCTCCTCATCTCTGTTTCAGTGGCTTTTTGCTTGAACCCTGCTTTGCTTTGCGGCAGGCACGTCTATTAATAACACAGTTTGTCTTCAGTTAATATGAATTTAGTTTTATTTACTGAATAAATGTTTTACAACAATAATATACAGCCCACATCATTGGGTGGTTGATGTAAAAAATCTGACAATATCAAGCAATCACTTCATACACACATCATTTATGCATACAGTAGGTACATTTTTGGTTTCATTCAAAATAAGATATCTTTTTTATAAAATTCCATATTTAGATTACAGTGAAGGCACGTAAATGGGCCAGATATTCATGTATTCATTTGCACACTGACACACACTTAAACAATTTAGCTGGATGGATACTGTAATGTTATAAGACCCCTCCCTCTACACTACTTCTAATCATCTAATCAATAAAGCTCTTTCTCTTGATGGACACAGTAGCTGGAAAATCAGCCTGATTTTCAGGATAGATCAATGCGCTGATTGACGTGTCAGATGGATGAACGAATATACTCCAATCAGGTGTATTGATCCAACCAACCAAGACCTAACTGGATGGAAGGGTGCTAATTGATGATGTCAGCACCTCTGTGTAAGGGGAGGAGATTATAAGCCTCTCCACTTGCTTCAAATATCATATTGGCTATAGTAAATGCAGGGTTTTGTGCGCATCTTTGCAGGTATTACACAGATCAATGAGGTTTACATGGGGGAGAGTGGGTCTGTAGAGTCAATGGACAAAACTATGGTGCAGAGATGGTTTTCCAGTAACTATAAATACAATCAACGTGGCTTGTGTGTGTGGTTTTTTAAATCTTGGCTTGGAAACAGTCAACACTACAACAATGTGATCAGTGGTAACTGTAGTGTCTGATTTTGACCACTAGGTAGCGCTTGGTAGCGCTACAAACACATGAACTTATTACAGTAAGGTGGTACACAGGGCAATCCAAAGCAGCATATCTCTATATGTGTATCTTTGTATACACATGTATTAACACGTTTATGTGTGTGTCTGTGTGCACTTGTTCATAAATGTGACATACTTGTCTCTGCTTGTGTCTGCGCATGTGTGCTTGTGTCCTAGGGTGTTTGTTTGTCCTTTACGCATGTTCAGTGTGGCCGGGGCACAGGATGCTGCAGGGTCATGTGTTCGGCTCCAGTGAAAGGCAGTCTGTGTGTGCAGTAGTGGTGGACCAGCTCAGGGATACTGGAGAAGACACAGCTACTCTGATCCAGTGTGTAGCCCAAGCCCTTACTGCTCTTAGTCTGGGCCACAATGATGTGCACACAACTCTGACTGGTCCTAATGGAACAAGACAGAGAGAAAGACGAGACAGAAAGAAATAAAAATTGTCAGCAAAGACAGACTTGCATAGGATGCTGCAGAATGGAAAAATAATATACATGTTGGTACTAAAAAATGAGCTCTCTTATCTATCTCTCCCTAAATGAGGCTATGCATTTACCGGGTTCAGTGGATGTGTAAATGGGGTTAATGATGTGGACTCTCAAATGAATGAGCAGTGTACAACAAATGTGCTCTCAGGCGCACGTCCACACACACACACACACACACACACACACACACACACACACACAAATGGCGCACAGGATTTCAGCCTTTATCCTGAGAACCTGTTAGTGTCTCCTCTACAAATGACACACATTCTCATGCATTAGCTGCTGTTGCTGCTACAACGCCAGCTGCTGTATCTCCTTAGCAATGCCTTAAAAATAGCCAAAATCGGGGTAAATCAGTGTGGAATAATATAAATAAAAAATAATGGCATTCATATTTATTTTCTAAAATACACTGTATGACAAATGTCCTGCCCAGGCCCATTTTCAAACAAGGCTGATTTAATGTATAAGTAAACACGCAGAGAGACGTGTGACATTCTGAAATGAAAAAGGAAAAATCACGAAACATGTTGATTTTCAAAAGTGCTCAACAAACACGCATGAAAATTAAACACACGTACACACATCCCCACACTCACTTCAGAGCAATGGAGTACTTGCTGGTTCCTGATTCGCTGTCTCTCACCAGGAAGCTGGCTTCCCTGCAGCGCTGCAGCTGAGCCTCAGCCTGCTGCCGACTCACACTGCCATGGTACCAGCTTGGAGAGGCGAGGGAGGGGTGGGGGAGATGCAAAGAGAGACAGCAGATCATTGACATATAGCACAGTGACATATGGAGATAAGTCAGATGTCAAGTTAATGATAGGTGATGATGGCGAGAGAGAGAGGGAAAAAGAGAAAGAGACTGACGGGAGGAAGGAAACAGGCAGACAAAGATTTACAGTCGTCGTAAATCAGACAGACAGACAGATATATGTTGTGGACTGAATGAGTTAACAATGTCAAAGGTGAACTTGAGAAGACAAAGAGATAAATAAAGTGGTCATACAAAGTGTACGTGGCTGTGCAGAGTGTCAGGGGAGGCCTATTAGGACACAAGGTGGTGCTGACAGTGGCTACAGGCGAGAGCCAGTTATAAACAAGCTGTATGTAGCCTTGATGCTCGGAGGCAAAACACACTGGCATTCAGCTTCAACATGAGGGGAACAAATGCGAACATGCTCTGAGCATGTACCCCACATGTTCCATCTGAAGAGAAAGGCCACAGGATGAGGAGTCTCTCCTGTCTATTCAATCAAGCCTAACCTTAAGGGTGCACCTCCCTTCAGCATGTCTTCTTATGTTCAGCACCTTAGGGGTTGCTGCTGGCTTGTGCTTGCAGTAATAAATACCCAATTTCACTTAAAAATTTCTTAAGTGCCAAGTGTAAAATATATATGAGATTTTGGCCAAGAGAACTGGCAGCCTCTGCGCTGTGTGATGAGATATTGAGGTAATTCTGCTGGATTGCTTTACAACTTTTACACAGGGAAGCTGATTTGTAGCCAAAACTGAGGAGGGTGCTGTTCTCCCTGTCTTACAAACACAGAAGAAAAAAAAAATACTTCATAACAAATGCAAGCAGGGCAACACAGAGAGCAGACAGCATGAGAAGAAGTGCAATGAACGCTGCAGACTTTATGAGAAATGTGCTGTTAATGTTGATAAGCACAAATAATACGCAGACATGAGATAAAGGCGACCAAATGTCTCAACCCCCATCTCATTTGTTTAATTCCCTCAATCCACTAATCCTGTTCAAGGTTATGGTGGGCGCTAAAGCTCATCCCAGCATGCAACAGATCAAAAGTCTATTGACAGACTAATAGGTAAACTGAAGAAAAAAAACCCACTTTAAAGTCTTTGTTATGTTTATTTTGGAGTTTCCAAATCACCTCACCTGAATGTCTTTGGACTGTGGGAGTAAGAGCACTGGATCCTGTTACCTGTCCAAACCCACCTCGGGTTTGAAGCTAGGACTCGTGTCATGTCACGCCTTATTTGTTTAAATCTACAAAATTACTTATTGTTTATGTCAAGATTAATGCAAATTTGTCAATAATATGTTAATATTTGAAACGGTTACTCTAACTTTATTCATTCTGTATTTCCTCCTTTTATCATCATATTATTAATTATTTGTCATGTTGCACATTTTGCCTGATGCAGACCACATAGGGTCAAAATGTTGCCTGTTTCACTCTGGTAACATTTTGGAACCACCGAGATCCACGAGATCCAGTATGCAGATGCCTTCTTATTTTTGCCTTACTGTAATTTTAAAACATCATATGCCACTTTTCACCCCTCCTGCCATATGTCTTCTCCCTCCTTACCTCTGCTTCTCCAGCGGCAGACTTGGGTCCACTTTGGCTGCATCCCCATCCAGCGGGGCACCAGGGGAGGTAGGGGATGGAGGGGAAAGTTTGCTAGGGCTGGAGGAGGGTGATAGGGGTGAGAGTTTGAGGGTGGGGAAAGAAGGAGATGGAGGTGTGAGAGGGGAAAGTTTGAGAATAGGAGAGGAGGGAAAGGAGGGTGAAGAGGAGGAGGTCGGAGAAGAGGAGACACGTGTTTTATGGTTCCAGCTCTTCTGTCTCAGGGTGTGTTGCTGCTGCTGCTGCTGCTGCTGCTGCTGCTGTTGCTGCTGCTGTTGCTGCTGCTGCTGCTGCTGCTGGCGGCTGGAGGTTGAACCGTTCTCTTTAGCGGGAGAACAATCCAGTGCCTCAAACTGAGCTGGAGGAAGCAGGAGAGACAATATCAACCTTTCATAATAAAATACTATCAAAGATACCAGATCTACCAAAGTAAACACATGTCTGGAAATTGATTCAGCAGGATTGTTTAGTTTCCTCTCTAAAGCAAACACAAAATTGTTGTGGCATTACTGTACAAATAAAATTCATGGCATCCTTCCTCCACGCCCTACACCCCCACCCTTCCCATCATCCCTCTCTCCCTTTCTCTACCTGACAGCGCTCTCACAATGTCCTCTTTTCTCCACTCCCAGGGCAACTCGTACTCTCCGGCAGGACGAACGTCAGACTCTGGCCGTGTGACAGGGATCCACACCCCCTCACTGTCACCCTCCGGTCCTCCCTCATATGGTGTGTCGTAGATATTAGGAGGCGCGGGCTTGCCCTCTTCTCCCTTCCCCTCTCTGTGGCCTCGGTCCAGAAGAACACACACTTTCAGGAGGTCTTTGGAGCCCCGTCTACGAACCTCTACAGCAGAATGGTCATGTGATTTGTTAGTAATGTTGGATTTCCACCTACTGTATGCAACAATAGACAAAGCTTTGTGTCTCCCAAAGGACTCGCAACACTATCACTTTCTCTTGTTAAGATTTATTCTTTGTCTTTTTTTTTTCGGAAAGGTATTGTGATTTGAGCGCAAAGTGGCTCTTTTTACTGCTTTTATTTTTCAATAACCGTGTGTGTGTGTGTGTGTGTGTGTGTGTGTGTGTGTGTGTGTGTTTGTGTGTGTGCGCGTGTGTGTGTGTTTGTGTCTCCCCTTCTGTTTGACTTACCAGAAAATCAACCTCCCTCAGACAAATTAAAATACATATGATAGCAAAACAACTGCCTTATTGTATAATGTATTAGTGAGCTCCACAGTAGTGAGGCCTTTGATGACTTGCTTTGTTTTTCATTTACATGTAAAATGTTGATGTTACTCTAAAAAATTTAACAAACTTCATTAATATTCATCTAAATTTGCCTGTGATCGGGCGTGCACTTCTTGCAAGCTTCTCAGTATTAATTTGCATAATGTGTCTGTCACATATCCAAAGGGATGTGTGATATTCAATGTGTACTAATCATCACTGCTGGAAACAGAAAAAGGAGAATCTTAACTGAGGCTCATGCAAAATTAAGTAAAGTTAAAGTACACTTTTTAATATTGCACATTTTATTGACTTTATGGTTTGGACTGGTAAGTTTGTCCATCAGTTCAAACTAAGCGGCATGCTTATTTGAGATTTCTATGTTTTTTAAATGAATACACCATGGTACCCTAAACATCTTTTAAATTCTAACACATGTATATTCTTTCGGACATTGTGTTTGTTTTGCATTTTTAGGAATTTTTTTTGTTGTGTTTCTTTGCTGTCCAACAGGTAGCCTTTATATCTGCACTATTGTGTGACCAAACAATGAAGTTACAGGAAGAAAAGGTCAACACAGCTGCTGATTGGCTGGCTGACCAGGCCACTTCCTGACTGCTGGGAAGTGATTGGGCGAGGGGCAGTGCGGGGGGGGGGGGGGGGGGGGCTGGTAGGTTCTGGGAAGGGTTGAGGGGGTCTTTCAATTCTTTTTCACACGTAAGAGACCATAAAGTATTATGCGTATGTGTGTGTGTATGTGTGTGAGGAGGGGGGGGCATTGGGGCCAACTTCCTATCAAGAGAATGGGGCAAAGGAAACAGAGGCAGGAGACAGGAAGTTGGAAGAGGAAGCTGCACCCATTGTCCCTGCACAACACTGTTCCTATAGCAACCGCCAGCAGGGAGGGAAGTCAGCAGAGAGACTGGGGGTCTAACTTGGCTCAAAGTTACTTTTAAACAGCCCTTTAACAGGAATGTGAGATGGTGTGAGTGCAGGGAAACTGAGCTAAGATGTAAGGTAAAGTGTAAGCAGCAAGTGCCCCTGGCTTGCATGTAATTAACTTAACTTATCAAAGGTGATATGTAAAGTGTATTAAGGGGTAATAATAAATTAAGTTACGTTGTCAGCAGACAAACTCCATTAGAATTTACCCTTGTTTAGCACGATCATTAAACATGCAGTTTTGAGTATACTTCGTCTTCGATCGCACTTGTAACTGTAATTGCTGAAACAGGCGATAAAACTTGACCTCACCTGTGATGATGACCTGGGCATCATAGGGCTCCATGTACCCATCATTCACTCCTGCTCTCTCAGCCTCTCTCTGCTCCTTGGTTTTCTCTGCATCAAAAGGATCTGCGTAGTCCTCCAGGATGATCAGCTGTGAGAAGGAAAACACCAGTCAGAGAGCACAATGCTGGACTACTACCTATTCACACATTACATTTACCTGGAGACAACCGAGCGGGCAGGGGGAGAGGGATCTGATGCACTACAGTGTGTGTGTGTGTGCGCGTGTGTGCGCGTGCGTGTGAGTGCGTGTGAGTGCGTGTGTGTGTGTGTGTGTGTGTGTGTGTGTGTGTGTGTGTGTGTGTGTGTGTGTGGTGTCCATGACTGAGTGACAAGTAATGGAGGGACAAGCGGAAATACTTGTGCAAAGAGGTCAGCGCATTGTGTTTGCTTGTTTGATCTGACACAATGTAGTGAAACTGCATTGTATTCTTTTGAGAGTGATGGAAACTGAATACAGGGTTATGAACTGAGAGGTGGGGAGAGAAAACACAAAGGAACGCAGTGACCTCAAGCCCATAATGAAATTTTTTTTTTTCTTTTTGCACTGTACAGTATATTGACTTTTTAATCTGCATGCTGCTAGAGTTTCCTCTTGGTTTGATTCTAAATAAACAGCAGATGGAATATGAAGATCAATAAGTGATATATGGTGGTCCAATCTCTTTACTCACCGCTGTCTTTATGTCAGACCTTCCCTTCTCGTTCTCAGGCAGCTTATGTTCAATTATCCCGTTGAGTTTGGGGATCTTGTCTTGTTTGTCCACCTTGATCATCCTGCTGATGTACGCTTGCGCCAGACTAGAGGTCCTGACCTGGCGGTTCTCATCTGATGTCCCAGTCTCGATCTTGGAGTTCTTGCGACCTTTTCCATTCGTGAGCGTATCCCAGACTGTCCCACCGTTGTTACGACCCAGTTCTATCGCAGAATTTTTCCTATTTCTCCCTGCTAATAAACCCCCAACTCCTCCATCCTTACGTTGATTTCCTTTCAAACTATCTCGCGAAGGTTTGGGTCGAGTTTGTGTACCAGACTCAGAGGCCGAGCGGACCCTTTCATTTCCGTTCTTTAGGTTGATAGGGAAATCTCTGAACCATTTTGCCATGGCTTTCGAGGTATTAACGCTTCTCACAGATTTAATATTAAACAAATCTGTGGTCTTTCACACGTTCTTGCATAAGCTGCCCCACTAGAGCTAACTTTGAACTGTGCGCAACGGCTCCAGCTTTACGCACAAATATTTTACGCACACCTCGGTTAAAGTAACTTTGGTATAAAACTGCGAGAATATCTAAGTAATCAAACTCAGCTGAGACCACTTTATGGTGCTGCACTGATTCCTAGCGTCTGGAACTCCTTGACTATCAGACAACTTCTGGTGCGTCTTGGAGATCATTGGCCAGCGTTGCTTCGTTGCTGTCACCCTGCACCTGCAGTAACAACTATCCCTGCAGTTTGAAAAGTAGCTTCTCTAGAGCGTAAACTCGAAAGAACTCGAAGTTTTTCTTTGAACCCAGTAAAGATCCCATTCCCGGAGCGTGAGATGGTGCGTCCTGTCTGTCGACCAGGCGAAGTGATGAGATGGAGAGGAAAGTTGGTGTGAGCAGACAGTGGGATGTCGCTGGGGTTTGGGGAGGGGCTGTGTGGACGGGGCGGGGTAGAAGCTTTACTGTAATAATTTCAATGGATAGCCTACTCTACAACTGAATCCTCTCCAAACTTGATCAGCAGCTGGCCTAAGGCCAACAGACGCCTGGCAGTAAACAACATGTAGGATTCAAAATCTGACAGTTATGACAAGTTATTACACAGTTTGAAAAATCGACCTTTGGGGTTTTTACCACTACAGTTGAGATCATATCTGTGGTCCACTCACCTCTCCATGGTAACAACGACATTTGCAGTACATGATCACTAAGGGCTAAAGAGTTATCCTTTTCTAATTTGTTTATGCACTTAATTTTATGACTTGTAATGTCAGGATAGGCAACGACAGACAACACTAAATATGCCACAAAAGCAGAATTAAATGGGGTTGATAATAAAATCATGAATAGAGACGACCACGCTTACCTGAATAAGTTAGTTGTTTGCACTACATGTTCTTGGAGGTCGTGCGTCTGTAGCAGAAGATTTGAGCTTTTTGCCAAGGTCCCTGATGCTGCTGATCCACCAGCTAGTAGATAGGTGCGCCATCTACTGGTAAATTTGAGAAACAAATACATAGGGGCATTAGTGTGTATTCATCTTGGCCCATCACTGGTCCTGAAAACGTTTTGTTTATCTGTGTCATGCCGGTAGTTTTTGTTCAACTGGAGTGAAAACACGGGCTTCTCTTTTTTTTCCCAATAATCCCAAAGGCCTTAAATTGGTTCAGCACAATGACTAACTGACGTAGAGATCGCACCAATAGCAAAAGTAGTCGATATCTATAGTTCCGCCCATGTCAGCGCTCTGGTCCAATCAGAGAGCTCTCTCCGGCGAGGCTGGGCGGGACGTTTACATCGTCGACAAAAGGTAACAGGTTGCAGTCGCCGCATAATGAACTTGTTGCTGTGCTAATTTGCGGATGAATTGTTTTTCTCTCCCGCTTTTCTGCGTGGATTTTTATGGATGTCTGTGAAAACATTTGAATTATCATCGAAACAGGGGAGGCGAAGTGTCAAAGAGGAGCGGAGGGATAACTTGAGAGAAAGAGGTAACTTTACGGTTGGTTTTGGACTTCACTCAGCCAGACAGCCAAACCAGACAGACACGACCTGTCAGACAGTCAGTTATTCGCTTTGTAAAGGCTTTTCTGGGGCTCGGTGGCGCTTATACATTTATTTAAGTTGGTTGTGTAGTCATTTTTACTACTATTGTGACACTGTGAGGTTTCTCTGGTTGCCAGTTTAGCTTGGTTGCTAACGTTAGTTTGATGGGTCGAGAGAAAGACAGGGACCAGTGCTCCCGGCGTTACTTCAGGATACTTGGATTTGCCTGTTATGCGATGTGAAATATGTGCTAGAGGTGTCTGCAAATGTTTCTGTTAAAGTTATCAGTCAGTTCAGGTTGGCTACATATTTCTCCTAGCATAATACACACTTAAATGCCAAATGAATTCATACTGAAAAGCAGTTTCTCTCCAAGACAGGTATGAATTCTGTGCATTTGTTGTGTCTCTACCCTGTGCTACCAGGGGGATTTGTCACTGGAAAAACTGTGCACTGATAAACAATTATAACATCTCTGACACAGTGACTCCAAATGTAACCACATTTCAGATCCTTGGCCTTGAATCTAGGCATCTCAATAATAAAACAGCTTGGCATGCATTCACTAGAAAGATATTTTGAAGAGCTGTTCTGTAAGTATAAAGATGTTTTTCAAGATTAGCTTGAGTCATATGAAACGGATGACACAGGTAAGAATTAATGCAGGTTATAGTTTGGAAGTGGATAATGGAGGGTTTGTGGATTCTGTCATGAATTTCAATAATTATAGTGTTGAACCTGCATCACCACCGACATGGTTTCGTTTTCAGACAGAGTAAACATGGAAGAAAATGCAGTCTGGTGGTAGTTATTCTCAATGATAAAGGTTAGTCCAATCTTACAGGTGCAAACACTCAAGTGTGCAGATAAAAAACCCATAATTCAATTCCTCTCTCCTTCTCCCCCTCTCTCTTTCTCTCTCTCTCTCACACACACACACACACACACACACACACACAGCCTGTGTAAGTGAGAAGGACAGAGAGAAACAAGTGTCTGGAATGTGAGTGAAGGGAGGGGCGTATTTATGTGCTCCTAATATGGTGTCATTTGTGTACTATTTGGTAACACTGAAGTCTCTCTTTTGTTATGCCAATGAACTTCTTTGGATTTGAAAAGAGGGAATAAATGGCTGTTTGTTTGAGTGTGAAAGAGGAGCAGTGGCAAGTTTGGAAAGCGAGATTGACCGCTGTAGAGAGGATGAGGGCCTGGGTTTATGTCAAGAATGTAATGGAGAGGGAGAATACCCTGAGGACTGAGTGAGTGGCTGCCTGTCCTTTAAAGACAGAGAGGTAGTGAGCTACTGTTTTGTCCATCTTACATCCTCACATGTCTATCTTCTGTGCCTGTAAAACTTAATGATTCACCTGGCGGAAAAGGGGCAAACTGCTGTTTAACGAGTTAAAGGCCACATTGGCTTTATGGGATGCTGTAAACTATGGCTGAAATAGTTAGTCGATTTATCAATATGTCAGGCATCTAGTGTTGCAACTAAAGATTACATTCATGATCAATTAATCTACCAATTGTTGTCTTTTTTTCAATTAATCAGTTTCTCCATAAAATGCCTGAAAACAGTGAAAACCTGTTATAATTTCTCAGAGACTAAGGTGTAACACCTTCATCTGTCTTGTTTTGTCTGACCAACAGTCCAAAACCCAAAGATATTCAGTTCATTTATGATGAAAGAAAAGCATCAAATCCTCAGATTTGAGAAGCTACGAACATCAAATCTTTGGCATTTTCGCTTAGAAAATGTCTAACACAATTTATTGATTATCAAAATTCTCAAATGTGAGGATTTGCTGTTTTTGTCTCTTTAAATTGAATATGACCAATGGAACTTCATTATTGACCTTGAAAACAGCGGGTTGACATAAAAACTGTACTAGCTTTTTCCAGCACTTTCAACTTCACCTCACTTAGTCATCCTCAGCTGATGCAAGATGTTAGCATGGGAAACTAGTGAAAACTTTTCTGACATTTTAAAGATTAAAACATAATAAACAGATTAATGACAGAATAAAATAATTGGACAATGGCAATATCCACATTGTTAATAGATTGTAAAAACACAGTAAATATTGAATATACTTTTTTAGGATGGATACATTTGTTATATTATATAGCAGCACACAGAACATTTCCAGGCCTAGTTTAGTTGTCATCCAGTGTGTTTTACTCTTTTAGAATAAGGAATGACTCAGAAAACCTTCAGCCTTTGTTGCTATCTCTGCCTGTATCAGTTTTGGGCCAAGCCAGAGTTGATCGGATCATATGAACCACAATGACTCTGTGAGTCAGCAGAGGCACTTTCATGACTCCACACATTGCTGTTGTTTCATTTCTCTCCACACCCGCTAATCTCCTAATTATATTTTCCATTCCATCTTGGATCTTAACAGGGAAGTAGCTCCAATTCAATTTACTGTGCAAGAATTCAATTTGAGGCCAAAGGCGGAGGCCCATCAGCGTAACTGCAGGGTAACATGACTGGCAAGGGAATCCAAAAACACCAGATATACTCCTAACTGGGAAAACGAGAGCCTGCTAAAAGAATACCAGAGCTGCAACCTATCAACTAAGTTTTTTTGTTTTCATTATTGATTAATCTTTGCATTATTCACTCAATTATTTGGTCTATAAAATGTTAAGACATAGCAAAAAGTAAAGCCTACAATGACGTCTTCATATCACTTTTTGGTTTGACCAACAGTCCATAACCCAAAGACAATCAGTTTACTATGAATGAGAATGTTCAGTATTTGGGCTTGAAAAAAGATTAAAATAATGAATCTGTCTTTAAAATAGATGCTGATTAATCTTCTGTTGAATGACAAATTGAGTAATCGACTATTTTTCAACTCTTAAGGATAGGAATCATACAGTGTTTGTTTTAAATGAGGAAACTGTCACATTTTAAAAAGTGACTGACCTGTTTGATATCCTGCTTTCACTATGGACAAGGAGGTTCATTTTAGAGAGGTATGGAAAGAAATTAGGTTTCTGGAGGAACCTAAAAGGGGGCTTTATGTAGACAACAAACAATGTCAGTGTCTAAACAAACTTGTTATAATCAAAGACAATGTAAGGCAGTGAATGAAAGAGGATGGGAATAGTTTTGGCATTCTCAGAATTGCTGCCCTCGTTTTCCGCCCCACATCAGCTGGACAATAGGATGGGTCCCCCACTCCCCCTTGCGGAGCTGGCAATGCGCTCTTCCTCTGTGACATGAAAAATATTAAACTGATTAAGGAATGCAGATGATCAGATGTTAAGAGAGAGACTTTTTTCTGCTTTACAGTTGCCTTTCTGTAAGTTAATCCGACCCACTCATAGCTCAGACTCTACAGATCAACCTAGATCAGATGAGCATTTCACATTAAATCATTGTTTTCTAGGTCCCTCGTATGGCCTGTCTGTCCCACAATCATCAGTGCATGACATGTTTGCTTGACCTTGATGTAAAGGCACTGGGCTGCAGACTTCACGCATGACTTCACAAACGTTTTGTGACATGGTGCTTCCTCTGTGGTTCCCAAAGGGTGGAAAAAAAACTGACTTAACTGTGCACGTCTGATGTGCAGGTCTGTCTGCGGATGATGCTAACGCACCACAAGCACACAGATTCCTTCAAAGGTCATTCATGACGTCTCAAATGACGTTGCTCCATTCACTACCTGACCAGACATTTACCTTCACCTATTCCTGCTCTAAAGTTGTTTTACATGTTAGTGTTCACTTTCACAGTGAGGAAGGCGTACAGTGCCATACTTTTTGGCTTACTTTGCTCACCGTGTCTTATTTTGCTCTTTCTCAGAGTGGCTGACAGTGCCATACAGCTTCCAAAATCTGTATGGAAATGTAAACGTGTTCAATAATGTATGGAGTTATCTATTTGAAGGTTACTTCTGTAGTCAGCCCTTCCTGTGTATGAGGGGGAGGGTTGTTCACAGGAACAGCTCGACTTTGGATTTTATCACACAAGGCACTGATAAGAGAAGAAAAGCTGCCTTTTTTTCTCTCTCTCCCTCCCTCTTACCTCACCCTCCCTTTCTGTCTCCCAACCCACTTTCTGTCTCTCACCTAGGGAAGCTGTTGAGAGGAAGTGAAAGGTGCAGAGCGGAGAGGTCAGGAGGAATGTTGTAATAGGTTTAAAATGGGCTTAATTAAACATACTGTTGTAATGACATAAGGGGTTGGGCATGATCAGTCAGTCGTTGTAATACCAGGAAAGTTCAGTACTTTATGGTACTGCTAGTGTTAAATCAGGTTGGCAGTGACTTATGGCTAAAATTTGATGTAGGTGTGATCAGTTGCAGTGGAAGAGGAATAGTTTTGGAATTACTCATCCAGTGTTATCAAAGTATAGAAAACGGGAGGATTAGGGAGTGAAGAAAAACGAATAAGTAGAGAAATTACAGAGTGAAAGAATGAAAAGGTCTTGACTAGTTCCTGTGGCACCTATTTGTATTCAAGCCGCCAAAGTTTTGTTGGGGGAATTAGTTCTGGTATCTGGCTGGGAAGCTTCCAAAAGTTGGGAAAGGCTTAGTCGGTCCCTACAAGGGGAGAGTGATATCTGGGTGTGTGCTCTCAGGTTAATGACTAATGGAGTGCACTGAGTACAAAGTCCACACAAGCAGCTGAGAGCCAGAAACTAGGTGTCACTGCTTATAAATCTGTTTTGCTGTATTGTTCAAAGCAAGGCTGTGTCTTTGTCTAGCAAGATTGTGACGTTTCAGAGTTGCTTGCAAATGAGTGTCTAGGTAATTCTCTATTTGATTTTCTCATTTGAGGGATTATTTGAGGGAAGAGGTTTTTCTTTTTAACCTGGCTATTGATTGTTTTTTTCTCTCTCCTCGTCTGCATACCTGAATCTGGGTTTTTGAGGTTGATACTGATATTGACTGCCAAATGAATAAAATATAATGCAACAAGACAAAGCACATAAAGTTTACATTTAGGACTAAAGGACTAAAAAATGTAGCCTGGTAGTCTCGTGCAGCATGTGCTCTCCCCCTGTCCTTGCTTCCTTTATTTACTTTTTACCCTGATCTCTTCTCTATTACCAGCATGAGCACGCCATCCTCAGGTCAGAAGACCCCAGTGGACTACGGTGTCCAGATCCGCTTCATCAATGACCTCTGCGACACTGGTGGTGGGCAGCCGGGGTCCCAGCCCAAGCCCAAGCCCAAGACCCAGACCAGCTCCAAGTACGGTGTGGCGGTCAGGGTGCAGGGTATCGCTGGCCAGCCGTATGTGGTCCTGAAGGATGGAGAGAAAGGAGACTCGTATGGAGTCCAGATCAAGACCCAGTACCCGTCTGGCTACAGTAGCCTTCCCCGGGGGAGAGAGAAGGCAGAGCCAGGAACACAGGGGGTAGATGTAGCAGGAGGAAGCAGAGGAGGGCAGGGAGGGGCACTTCGCCGGGCCCAGTCCCATGGGTCACTACTGGACAGGGATGCAGACAATGAGGATTTTCAGCTGTCTCGGCCACCGGGGGATGGGAAGTCTGGTAGTTATGGGAACCTGGATGGAGGATTAGGAGTCAGAGGGGAGAGAGAGCAGCCTCGGCGTGGCAGTGGTAGAGAGGGGGACATGGAAAGGAATATGTGGGATGGTTCATATCAGGCAGGGCTCAACGGGTCACTTGGGTCAGTGCGGGGCACTCAGCCCTACCCTGACCGTCCTCAACAAACAAATGAGTTTCACTCTAATCAGAGACAGAGGGCTGTCAACAGACTAGTAAACAGGTTTGATGGTGGTAACACTGGGGGCCAGCAGAGAGGCCTCCCTCCTCCACAGCAAGATCCCAGAGTTACATCTCCTATCCTCACCTCCAACCCCTACACCTCACCTCCGTCCTCAACTCACAGCAGCTTGGGACGCAGCCAAGACGCTCTCAACACATTTTCAGGACACTCCACTAATCAGTGGTCTTCACCAGGGAGACATGCTCCAGTGGCGACACCGCAGGCCAGTCTGACTGAGGCACAAGTAAGAATGAAATCTTCTCTGTTTGGGAATTAAAGCTGATTTTCAGAGGGCTGCAAACACCCCACAGCATGCAAAATTGCAAGAGTAGTTTTCTGATCTATGTCTTAAGGTGACCCCTGACCTTTTGCTGGACCAGGGTCAGAGTGCAGAGATGTGCATTGAGGAGGAGCAGGCCATGCAGACTATTTACAACATCCTGAGACAAGGGTACGGACCTCCACGTCATCTTTATCCTTCTGTTACTTTAAAATAGGTGTTACAAAGAAAAGCTAATGAATTACTACAGTAATGTTAAACAGTTATCTTTTGCCTTTTTGACCTGCCTCTAGAACTAACGAGAGTGATGTTGTCACTATGCACAAAGTCAAGCTCATCTGCCAGAAGATTCAGAATATAAAGGTTTGTCCCTTTTTGAACACATCTGGTTCTGTGGAGGGCTTGTTGCCCCTTGCACTGGTTCATATGTCAGATAAAGAAATAGTATGGCCAAACTGCTTACATACAGTTTATATGTCCCCTTACAACTTTTTTCAGTCCAAAGAAGGGCCGAGGGAAGAGTGGATGAGAGAAAAGAGGGAGCTTGAGAGAAAGATGGCTGAACTACAAACTGCCTTGCAAGAGGAAAGAAGGGTAAGCAAAGCAGGAATGAAACCGTTCTACTTCTTAAATTTTTATTAGCAGTGCTGAAATGTTTCCTTCTCTATTCTTTTCTCTAGTGGATAAGGCAGTTTTATAGATCAAGCGCACTTTGTTTTGCTTTAAATGCAGTGAATATTCGATGTGTGCCCAGAACGTAGAATAGCACTTTTTCCTCCTTTCTTCTTCCAATTGAAGCTTCAAAACCCACGTTAGTTATTAGAGTTATGTCATTTTTACGAAGCCCAGTTTAAGGTAGGGGTGGCAAAGACATGTAGAGGATGGCTGCTTAAGTTTTGGGTTGTTACTGTAGTGTTTTGGTGCCTTGAAAGACCCACCATGCCTCTGTAAATTCAAGCTGGTTGATTGGAGGATGTTAACATTCAGAGAGGAACTTGCCACTTTAACTCAGGTCTGATTACATGGAAAGGCACACATAAATACTCATCCAAGTCTCCTCAAAATGAGAGCACTGACTATCAAGTGAAGGAAATAGTCCCTCAGAGTGTCCTCTGAGTTTTTATGTCATTTTTACTAATCTAACCAGGAGGGCTGGGGGTTCCTTGGAGTGTGCTTGAGATTAATCCTCTGATTAATCCTTAAAGCTCTCTGGCCCGGTCAGAGGTGCACACACACAATAATCTAACTTCAATAATGACTCATCATATGTAGTCTTAAGGAACTTGGGCAGGTCTTAATCTCTAATAGCTCCTAAGAGCTTAATCCCTCATGCATATTGATCGGTGGGCAAATGCAAGGCCGCTTTAGCATTTCGTCAAAGCTCATTGTTTATGCCAGCAGAGCTACCTGATGTCTTATGTTTCACCGCTCTCATTTATTCATCATGTCTGCTCATATGTAGAGCTCTGTTAGCAATTCTGATCCTGCCCTGAAAGCTGAGCTGGAGTCCTGTCTGGATGAAAATCTGCAACTCCGGGAGATGCTGGACCGGAAGAAGATAGAATTAAATGAAACACAATCAGAGTGAGAGCACATACACACACGCACTCAGACACACACACACGCACTCAGACACACACACACACACACACACACACACACACACACACACACACACACAGGAAAGCGGGAAGGGGCATGGCACCATTGTTTATTTGAGTATCTGTGGTCAGGAGTAGGAGGGGGAATGACAGCCCCACTTTGTTTTCAAGCACACACTGTCATGAACAAGCAGTTACTGTATCTTATTCACAAAGCCAAACAAGTATGTCATAGTCATTTGAATCCAAAGAATCATTGAGTAATGTGTATGCCCTCTTTTCCTCGCAGGCTGACTCAGCTGCGTATGGATAGGGAGAACGCTGAGGCACGGGTCAGAGAGATGGAGGACCAGCTGGCTGAGCTTCAGGATGAACTGAGAAGAGAAAACGGCAACAAGACGGTAACACGGAAACGTGATCTCACAAAACGCCCACACAGATATACAGGGAGAAACAGTCTCAACTCAATACTGGGTTTAAAAAAAAAAAAAAGGACATGAGACTAAACTGCTTCTCAAGACTACATATTAATCGTGTGGCAACATATTTACAGGTTGAATAGTTGAAAAGGCTTTTGCAGTCAAAAGCAAGATTAACTTTCATTAAATTTCAGTATGCCGAGAGCCCAGAGGTATCAAGTTAATACTGTGCATTTCCTGTGTCTGCAGGACCTGATGTCTTGTCAGGCACAGCTGATGGAGGTCGGCCAGCTGAAACACAAGCTGGAGGAGACGTTGAGACAGAGAGAGAGGGAGCTGACGGCTCTGAAAGGAGCGCTGAAGGAAGAGGTGGCCACACATGACAAAGAGATAGAGGCGCTCAGAGAGCAGTACAGTGCTGACATGGAGAAGCTCCGCAGCAGCATGGAGCAGGTATCTCAGGTGTGTACTGTCACACTCGCATCACTTACGTTTGAAAAATGACGAAAATGCTTTCAAGTTGGAGACAAGTTGGTCAAAAAACTGGTCCCTCAACAACAGACTCTCTGTACATTCAACAGAAAAAACGATTATACGTGCTTTTAGGTTTCGGCCCCTCCGGTGACAACATTTGTAATTTGGCTTTCAGTAGATTTTCTTATTGATAGTGATTTACAAGAGTCAGCTTGTAGAGCATCTGTGTCTCTGTCAAGGCTACTCCAACAGGATACACATGTGCTGTTGAGATCAAGTCTTCTGCACACATACTATTTCACAGTTACATTATATTGCTCCTCTTGGCTGTTGGTATTCCTTCACAAGGATGTAATCGTGCTCAGGATCAGGGTATTGCCGGTGATCGGTAAGCTGTGTGTGATGCACAAGTCCAGCTCTTTCAAAACACAGTAACAAAATGAAAACAGGAGGGCATCATAGCACGCAGACAGATTAATCTGTTTAGGTTTGAAAAAAATTATTTTCCCATTATAATTTAATTTCATGCTGCACTGTGCTTTGGAATCTGCACTCACTTTATTGTTGTAATATTGAGAAGAAATCCACTGCAGTTTCCATTCCAGTTATATTTATAAGACCCCCATTTACAGTTACTTGTTATTTACATAGAGATATAAACAGATTTCATGATTCCATGTGAACAACCTCTCTGAGTACACAGGAGTCTCTGCATTTTAAACTTGACCTCTTCAATCAAGATAATGCAAATGACTTCTCCATGGAGTGGTCTATCTACACTGTTGAGTATACTACTTACATGGCGGGAATACAAAACATTATGCTCTCCATCCTTCTGTCTCCTGTTTTAGTCTCACGCAGGGATCGAATCAGAGCGGCTACGTGTCAATGCATCAGTTCGCTCTCTGCAGCAGCAGTTGGAGGAGTGTAGAGACGAGAGCAGCCACTGGATGGAGCAGTTTCATGCCACCAGAGATGAACTTCGAACAACTAAACAAGAGTGGGTCTATAGACATTTAAACACAACATAATGATCAGAAATTGAATTCATAGTTACTTACCTGGCTTTCGGGTTTCCAGTATTTATGTGGACATGGATCTTCTCACCCTCTCTACATCATTTCATTTTGCACCTGCTGTACTACTAATGTGTGTCCATCTCTTCTCTTTCGTTCTACCTGGTCAATGTTTCTCCCTCTCTCTGTTAGAGAGCCACCCAGCAGCCCTGAAACACCGTGAGAGTCACTAATTGAACAGCATTTGTGTTTAGATATGCAGAGCTGTAGATGTGGCTAGCTGTGCTAACACTTGTCACTGTAGTGTCAAGGCCATCCACACTTACAGCCCTAATTCAGGACTCTCCACAGTGTTTATTTGATCCAAATTCAAATATAGACAATGAACTCCCTAATACATTATACAGTCCCAAATGGGAATATGGACCATATTTGTCCATATTGACGATTCAGTTACTGTGAACACTGTGTACAAGCAGGAACAACAAAGATACAGGGAGAGGTGTTGATGGTCTTGTATTTTTTGTCTGTGTTTAGCAAAACATATTGTAGACTTGTTGTATGTGAAAGTGTCTGATTGTTATGTGGTAACAGGGAATGCTGATTTATTTCCTGTTGCCTAAAGATTAAATAATGACATACTTTGCTCATTGACTACATCAAAATAAATTACACTCACTTGTCATGATTGACCTATACAACCCAACAGCTACTGATCAGCTAATTAAGCAGTAATACTTGATTGGTACAGTGGGTTTACATCAATTGTATGTTCACATTTTTCAGACTCCTGCAAGCTCGTCTGGAAAAAGAGGAGTTTGAGGAGGAACTGAAGGAGCTCCAGGAAAAAGTGAGCACCATGAAACAACAGATACCAGACCCTGGCCACACGCACACTCTCAACCAGGTGCAGTAAACACACACACACACACACACACACACACACACACACACACACACACACACACACACACACACACACACACACACACACA